CATGGGACCCGGTATGGACATCGCGAGGTATTGGTTCAGCGAGGAAAGTTCCTTGTCGACTTTCGCCCAGGTCGCTGCATTCTTAGCGCCTGAGCTCTCCAATGTCTTGGAAAGACGCTCTAATTTCGCGTCGAGTATCCCGATCAAAGCGGAACACTGACATTGGTCTTTCGGAATCTGCACTGGGGATTGGTACCGTTTCACCGATTTTGAACGTACCGCGCACGTATTCACCGGCACGTACCGGCAACGTATTCACAGCTTGGAGATATGCTCACCTAAAGAAATCACCAATGTTGAGAATTTGCATCATACATAGAAATTCTACACAACGAAGTGGCAACCTTGAAAACCTCGTAGCTTTTGATAAATCTATTGTATTGTGCGAATACTGAGCAATGTGTACCAATCTGTCACCCCCTGAATCTATGAGTTTGCAATTTCAGCCAATCAGAACTAACCTTGACGCTGGAACCGCCAAATCGCTAAGTCTTTAAGCCAATTGCTTGCGAGTTGGCCAGTTGGGCATTACAGCGTCTGGCCTTGGCCGGTAAGACGGCTTTCGTGTAGGACTTCGTCCACCACCTTTCCGAAGTTGGTTGATGTAGCTCTGAAGTCCACTTGTGATGTTTTCGGATTCCGTCTGTCCAAGCTCGCGTTTGTAATGCTTGCTTGGGCTGATCTCCCAATGGTGCTGTTGATGGAATTTTCGGGTTGGGGTTGTGGTCAAGTTTATGCAGAAAGAATGTGACTACCATCATAGCCTTCCGAATATTAGTTTCTGTGACTGTTAAGGGTTCATCGAAGGATCCACAAGATTTTAATAACAAATGTAAACTTATGTTGGTTTATGTGCATTGGGTGCAATGCAATGTGCAGCAGTATTTGTTCCGTCACACTCCGAACATGCATGAGGTGTTTTCTGTTATGTATTCTCCGAATACTTACATGGCTTCTACACGCGCATAGTGCGAGTGTTGTTGACACACATCAGTGATACCTAAAGGGCTATACGGTCGGTAATGAGTTATTTTTATTACATTTTTATTTGCATAAGAGGAAACAACGAGAAACCTTTGTGAGGTTATGATACCGGAGTATTTCCAGAGGTGTTCTCTCTTTCAGGGGACAGAATCTGCAATTCTGATGACAGGATTTGTTTTGAGCCTGACAGGGCCAAATGAATTCTGTATAGTGCTTTGCCCAGCTGACATGAGATGTACCCTTGTATTCCCTAGGAAGTCTGTTGCTCTAATCACGAGCCGAAATCCTCTGACTTCCACTGAGCAGACGTGCAGTCGTGCAATGGTACACGTTAAACTGTTGCTCCATCCGCGTGTTACGATGCTCTAGTCGATTTCTTTTTCGCAGGAAACTGCCAAGCGGTGTTCGATGCTTATGTCGACGTAGTGCTCCTCTGCCGAATTTTTCCCGTCGGTCCCTCCCGTGTGAATTCCTGGAGCTTACGCTTTTGGTGTTATGCATGGCACTAACAATCAAAAGGTTTATGACTCACTAAACACCACTCTGATGGCCACCCAATGTAAAAAAATAGTTAGAGGCTTGCAGCACGACCATGGCGCCAAATGTTCGAGGAAGAGAGAATGCGAAATACGACTGTGGTACTAATATGTATTTAACCGCCGGATGTGGTTAGCTGCATGTATGGAACAAACTGTGACCAAGCGATGTGCCACAAAAACGTGAGGTTCAGATCGAGGCTGGGGGCACGTTAAAATAAAGATATAGAGGATTTCAGTCTTGTAAGACCGTAAACACATGTACCCCACACAGTTTTCAAGGTCAAAGGATCGTTCCGCCTGGTCGTTTTGATCGTGGATTAAACAAGGGTAATTGGATATGGGCCACACCTCTCTTCGGACAGAACTCTAAAAACGTTGATAGACGAACTGATTGCCGTAGCCAGACATTATGTTTTCCGAAATTCCAAGGCGACCAAGTGTTCGTTTGGGTTTCAGGACTCTAGTGTTAGTTGTGATATTTTGCACTAGAAGAACTTCCGGCCACCTACGTAGACGTCGACTGAGAACAACTGTTGCCATTCACTGGACTTGCATAGTCGATATGATGAGTCGATGTTTCAGTCGGATTCGGCTGTGAACTTGGATGAGTTTTCACGAGTAACTAACTGCGTCGCCACACTGCAGTCAAGATTTGAGACCTGTCCATTCTGAGAGTCAATCGTCTACCAACCGGGCGAATGTCATTCCGTTTATTGCCGGATATCTCCTGTGAAACTGCTTCAGCAGGTCTTGCTACCTCATATGGGTCAAAAGTTTTTCGAGCAGCTAAATGTAGGTACAAAATAATACGAGCGTGTCACTCCGCTCGATCTAGAGCCCCAAATCATCTCACACTGGCAGGCACCCTGCCATTGACTAAGACCTGTTGTAGCACAGGATTCCCACAGGTCCGTCACAAGTGACTGTACCTTGCCCTAATGTGACGGTTCGTGTGCTCCCGTGACCCATTGAGTTATAGTGGGTGGTGTCCATGCAACACTCACGGGTGCCTTATCAGGTTGTTCAGGGGTTAGCGAACCCGACTCCACCTGTCTAGGCCTTGGCAACCTGGAAGTATTTCAGCCCTCGGGCTTCCATTGGGTGGCGTGGTAGCTAGGCACCAAAAAGGAGATACAGCTGGACGACTTTTTCAAGGGTTAGAAATCTGACCAACACAGTATCCTGGCCTCCATGTTGTGGGTCTACATATGTGTTGTGACTTGTTCCCTGAAATTGTTGATGCGCCCGCGGTCGGACTTTCGAGTCAGAGACTTCGGTCCACCACTACCATCATCATGGATAGTATTACATCAGTGTTCACTACTTTGGTCGAGAACCCTAATCTTCCTCCTGTCTAGTTCAGGTTGTTCTGGCAGTATCCCAGCCCATGTACAACTAACAATACTTTCATGCCATATCGGCCGTCGCGTGATATCATTGGCTGGTCCTCATTACTCGTCGCATACAGAAGGGCGGGTAGGCGAAAACAGGCCACTGCGGATGCCCCCTTCTTCTACGTACTTTTTATTCCCCCTTCCTCACCCCATTAATAACCTCTTTGTGTGCCCATCAGTTGAGACTAGCCTAGTTTGCATTGCAATGGTTTTGGTCGCAACATCTACGCATCAGTCACCACTGACAGTCTCAGTCATCTAGAAATCCATCGTCGAGCCTCGATGCCCCGTCTTTCTGACTGGTTTCAATGTACGCTCGCATAGGCAAGCAGGACAACAAGCTGAACCCGCTCTCACACTAGACTCGATTGGCTTTGATGTATGCTGTGTATCATGAAGAAGACTTCAAGATGCATGCACAGTGGTTGAGCTAACTGCCCCATTGCTCTTCACTTCCAGCTGCGCAACTCCTACAACCCACAGGCTGATGTCACAGGATGTGCAGGGGTCAGTATCGTTCATAGTCGTAGTGCATATGCTATTACACAATCCAAATAATTCTGACTCACGATTTGGCATGCGCTTCACAAAATGTAAAGTGTAAGACTTCGTGGACTCAAACCCTTACCTCATGCTTACGAATGAGCCGATTAAGGTAGCAGCCAAAGTTATCTACCCAGGCGGCTGTATCAGTCGCGGTAGTTGTGAGAAAGATGATGTCTCCATCCGGATTGAGAAGGCCAGAACAGCTTTCGTTAACGTGCATCACTTGTGGCGCAGAAATTCGGCCGTTTGGTACTGAGGACGTAAAAAAACTGTTTGACCGTTGGTGTCTTCGGAGCATTGCGCGAGTCTGGTGGGAATACTGGATCAGTGATGCTAAAGTACGTCGGATAGTTTTCTGAGGAAGTAACTCGCCCAAGATAGACTGATTACACTACATAGGTTGCGTTGATTTGGTGCGTGCTCCGTATGAGAAAGGAACTCGCCCAAGATAGACTGATTACACTACATAGGTTGCGCTGATTTGGTGACGTGCTCCGTACGCCAGTCGATCGAATTCCTCGAGGGGCTCTTTTCGTACAATCACGTAAAGCGTGGAAACGATCCGGGGAAGGTCAGACAATGACTTGGCAGCAAAGTACGAAACACGTTGCCAGAAACCTCAGCTGCGCTAGTCATTGTCGTCCTTGGATGGGGGCCCCGGGACGGGACACTAATGGTTAGAGACATTGTCAGAAGTGGCTGAGTCGTCCAGTCAATTGCGATCATGCATGCATGCAATTGCATCGCTCCTCTCCCAATATTCCCTGTTAAAAGTCAACTGACTTGGTGTCTTCTACGCATCTGTTTTATCAGCTACATCCTGCAATGCGCAGCTACCTCCTGCAATGCGCAGCTATCTGCCCCACCTTCCCAAATCATCGGTAAACGAAACTGTGGCAGCTAAGATCACTGTAGGGCAAGTACGCGGCTCTTACAGCTGATGATGATGATGATGACCTGGAGGAATGCTCCCTGCTTGGCTGGGTACCCGTTGATAGTTACCTCTGTGCAGTTTATCTGGCAACGTCCGTGGATGCGTCTTACAGCGGGAAGGGGGTCGCATCTCCGTATGCACCAAACGGCTGTAGCCCTGACACCATCTAAGAGAAGTTTAATGACGCCTTGAGTACCCTTCCGCGGAAGGCTCAAAGCTCACATCGTTATGGTTAACTGAGATCGTAATGCACAAGTCGGCAGGCTTAGCGCATCTGAGATTCAGTTGGGTGGTCAACATGGATCGGACCTGATTGGACAATGGCAGGCGAGTGTTTCGGCTATGTGTTGACCGCAGTATGTTTTTGTGCAGTACTAGCTTCTGAAGTAACCGAACTCATCTGGCCATGTGATGTCTTTCAACAGCGTGCGACCCACGCATTCAAATCGATCACGTCGCCAGCAGTTACTGATGGCGTGGATCATTAGCTAGCTGCCGCTCATTTTTGAACACAGTGGATTCCGGCCACAAGCCCGTCCGGATTCGGTTTTATGTTTTCCAGGGCCGGTTAAGCTGTGGACAAATCGCTTAGCAACTGGGAGACCGGCAGATCCCAATGGTAGACGAATTAATCAGAAACGCCTTCTGGGCTCTTCACCATCCGGTGTAAATTAGTGCAGGAACGAGATAGCCGCATCTCTGTACAGTACCAAGAGTTTTGCCTGTATCATGACACCACCAGGTCCGCTCAGACACGGAATATCTGACAGAATTGTAGTGCTGAAATATTCCCGCCGCTTCCGGACATAATTCTGCCCGACGAATTATCAAACGTCAAGTGAAAGTGATCGTTTGCGCCGACCATCTAGCCTGATGGACTCGAAAGTTCGAGAAAATGGGAGAGAGCTCGAAAACCGAGAATGCCAAGAGATTATTTCAGTTAATCTGTGTGGCCGGCCCACGGTAGCCACCTGCGGCGAAACCATCAAGGGTCAAAGTGCCTTTTCACTAGGGAAGGACGTCTCGACAACCGAGGCAAGCACTTTGGGCAGCAATTCCTAAGGCCTCCTGCCCACTCAATCAGGTCCATGAACTGAAGCAGAATCCTGACGGCCTCGGAGGCTTATGACTATGTTATCTCAAAGACCGCTGAGTTCCTCTTCCAGGTGACCTCCCACTCCAAATGTTCAAAGATGAGAGTGAAACCCTCAGTCAGCGCTCACCTGATCTGTCTGTCTGCGTTTGGGAAAAGTCGATTGTCCCAGACAACTTGAGAGAAACCGCGATTGTGCCCACTAAAAAAACGGGTCCGTGATGAGGGTGGTAATCGCCGGAAGACCAGAACGGTTATTACGAGAGTCTTGGCCTCATTTGTGCTTCGTCGTCTTATGATGGCTCGTGAAACAATGACTCGAGAGCAACAAGCGGGATTCTGGCCTGATGGGTATTGTGTTGACCAACTTTCACACTCCAGGTGCTAGAACAACACCATACGTATATATGGTCTATAATTTTAGTATTCCTAGGTTTCTAAGGCGTGTTGGCTTATTCTCCTTAACAGTTTCCCAGCAATCAATGCCCCAAAAGTTTGCGAACGTAATAAGTTTTTTGTATCCTCAGATTTTTTGGTGTGTGGGCGTATACGGTGAGTTCCCCAAAATCGCCCGTACATAGAGTTTTGTCCGCTAAGGGTGCTCAATCTATTTAATTTTATTTAGTCTTGCTATCTCCGAGGTGATGAGCGGAATTCTTGGAGCCCCCTAAGACCCTGGAGTTCAAATAGCTGCTGACGAAAACCCTGTCGATCTTGAATGCACAAACGAGGAGAAGTTAGTTTTCTTTGGGCTCTAAGTGATCTAAGTCACCCCGTGTGCAGCATGCACTTTGCACCCACGAAGTGTGAGGCCATACCTCTGGACACGCAGTCACTGAAACAAAATAAAGATACATCGTTCAGCTGTAGCACCCCTTCGGTGCCTAGCTGCCATGCCACCCAAAGGAAGCACGAGGGCTGGGGTAGTGCCAGGTCGCCCAAGCGTAGATGGGAAAAGTCGGGATGCAGAGGTCGAGCTCGAACGACGAACCTTTTGGTCAGTAAATTCGCGCTCTAACCACTGAGCCATCTTACAGTCGCTGAACACGCCACTCACAATCCAAAGGGAGACACTTGAAGCTGAGAAGCGTTTTACATATCGTGGAAGTTGTATTAGTTGCGATTGTAGCGTGAAGAATTAGGTTGCTAATTTGGGATACTTATGGGAATACCTTTGAATCCCAAGGGTGTGTGTACCAGACTACAGTACGACCTATTTTGTTGTACGGCCGTGGGACGTCCCCTCTGCGAGCAGCGGAACTGAGACGTCTTCAGGCGTCTCAGAAGCATAGACGGTGTTGTCTGGTGTCGACAGCGAGATAACTGAAAAATGAGTGTTTGGTTCGGGGAATTCCATTGAAGAGTGTGTCCAGCACCAGAATCTGCGTTGGTTAGGCCGTCCATTGTGAATGCCGAGCCATCGTTTGCCGTACTCAGAGTAGAGCAACCATGGAGATGGCCAACGTTTGATCTGGCAGAGTGCTTTCAAAGATATTTCAAAAGTCTGGGTGCTGTCGGTGTGATTATCCTTCCGGAATGGCATCCGCGTGATCTCTTCGCGCATAGTTTTATTGCAAATGATGGAGTCAGCCGCCATCAGGCAACTTTTGTCAAACCTCATATGCAGTGCGTGCCGCAGTGCGTATAGATTTGGAAAATCGAGTCGACTGGAAGGCTTCTCGCTCATGCGCGATTTACTTTGAACCCACTCGGTTATGCCAGTTCTTGAATTTTCCTAAGAAGTTTGGGTTTAACCAGTACCTAAACGAAATCTTCTGGACTTGATGGCACGGGCTACTTACGAATAGTTTCGTAATGTCTTTTTCCCGATAACGCACTTGCGGAGCGACTTGGGAGTGGAACATTCTGTTGTCGGCTGTGAAGCCCGTCGGATTCGATGAATGCTCGGTGTTATTCCAATTGAAGGCAGCTTTCTGTTTTCAGAGGCGTTTGGTCTGACTTCCTCTTTGGTGTAATCTTCCGTACCGTTGACAGCGATTCCCATCTCTTCCAGATAATGTCAAACAAACTTCTCTTCGGCAAAGAGTTGGCCTCTTACGATGACGAGGATTTGGATGAACTATTGTCCAAATTGACTGAAGAGGAAATCCAACAGTTGAACGATGACTTGGATCCCGACAATACGCTTCTACCTCCTTCACAGCGCTGTCGTGACCAGACCACTAAAGCACCTACCGGGCCGTTTAATCGGGAGAAACTCCTCAAGTATGTCTGCCGTTAAGCCACCTTCCTAACATCTGTTAACACGAGAATATTTGTTACTTTTTTTAAAAGTTTGAAACCTGGACCATCAGGAGAAGTTGATTAATTTCAGTGCTCGTTGGTGATATGGTACTTATTTTGCTGTGCTAAAATCCCCAGTCAGGGTGAATTAATAATACTCGGCCAGCTGTAACACCCTTCTGGCGCCTAACTGCGATGCTAAAGGAAGCCACGAGGGTTGAGATACTGTCAGGTTGCTTAAGCCTAGAAAGGAGCAGTCGAGATGTTAAGGTTGGGTTCGAACCACTGACCTTCCGGTCAGTAGATTTGTGCTTTAACTACTGAGCTATGGTCTGCCTGCATCAGTAACTGCGGGCATACGTGTACTCTTGTGAACGAACGAATGACACTCACAAACCGTCATGCACAATTGAAAAAGCGTTAGCCAGGTTATAATTTCTATGCCTTCATTCCGTCACGTCGGTTACTTATTTTATTGCCTCCCAGGACGATGTCTGTACGACACTACCTACACTTGGTTGCAATACATAGCCGCTAGTTGATTTAAGTGTCGTTTTTACTGACAGTTTTTAACCAGTTTGTCTGTCAGGAAGTGGTGTTACCACCATGCCCCCTTCAAGTGAACCCCATGTAAGCGAATGACTTCTTTGCACATTTTGAACTCCGTTGGAAAGTCCATCCCACACGAAATAGCGCTTCACAATACATCTAGGTATCCAAGCAGCATCAATTTTGCTGATCCAAAAGTGACCAATATGGCTCCAACGCAGCATAGAACCTAAATTATTCAACTGACCAGATAGACTGGATAAAAACTCCAGAGCCTGGCGGGTTTCACAAGACAACAGTCACTTAGTGAAGAGGACATCTGTATTAAAATTAGTCTTTATCGGATTGAAACAAGCCACTCCTGACGGACGGTAAGTTGAACTCATGAGCGCGCCGTGCTGTTTTTCTAGCATCTAGTTATTCATATCCCCGTAGAAGTTTGTTAGACCATGGATTATTTCGGATTATTTGAGTCCCAATCCCCGGAGTAACAACGACAACTGTTTTGTCAACCCACACCTGGTGTAGTAGCGTGACAAATCGTCTGACTAAATGCGAGATATGAAACCGCTATTTGGTATACTTGCTTGCGTACTCATCTTTGCAAATTCATGTTAGAAACTGTATGGGTTACCGCAACTTTCATGCGAGCACTTCTTAACTAACTATGTCGCAAGAGGCACTAATCCGTCAGCTTAGCCTGACCTGAGAATTATGAGTCTGGAGAGACCTACAAGAACTCTGAAGATGCGGTGAGAGAAAATGGGGTGAAAACACCAAAGCGCAGTGGTGCCGTAATCATTGCGGGCGAGTTTTCACGCTTTATTCGTCCTGGCGAATCAGGTCTGAGGCTAATATACTCCCAATGGCAATAACCAAGTGAGAAGCTGGGAACATAGAATACGTTTTCGACTTGGTGGTCGAGAGGACAGAGTTCTACCGGGCTGGGAAACGACTTCGGTGGTCCCGTAGATATTTTCGGGTGGGCGGGAGTAATTGAATTGCCGTGCCATGATACTTATGGTAATCTAGCGCTAAGAAGATTCCATTTCTGTACGTAAACTGCTCATACGGTTGCGGATGATAGTTTTGTTTATCTTGGAACTCATCAGATAGATGCAGTCCCCGAGTTTTTGTCACCTTATGTCCTACTCGAACCCGAATCGGACAGAAGTCGCTAAATAATCTTACTTGCCTAGTAGTTTGATTCAACCGAACCCAGTTGAAGAAGACTACCGTAAACGAGAGATCCAGCTGGATTCAACCGAGTCTCCTGGCAAATAGGTATCGTCGTACGATCACGGAGAAAGAAGGGCTTGTTACTAATGCTGGGAGGTTATGTACGTCGCATTGTAGTGATCCTACCAGGAGAGGACAACACCCGGAAAGTGCCTTTCGGTCTTTTCTTGGGAGTGACCTACCTTCCGGAGGGAAGAAAGGATTTTATCCTGAATCGTGACATCTCCGATAGCTCTCAAACACCACTGATTTGGGTGGTCATATTTTTGACCATATTGCATTGAACTGTTAATGTTAGCCAGTGACTATCTAAGAATTTCGAAACTTGACGTCTAACGGCTAAGGAACTGTGTTTATGTTTTCGCCAAATATTACTGATTCTCGCGTTTAGGTTCCAAAGCATTTGTTGCACGTGACCTGTACCTGCATTAGGCCAAAAGGTTTTTTGTTTTGGAACATTGTATCTAACCAGACATAAATCAATTTACCCTGTTTCTGTGCACGAGCAGTGCTCAGCTATGGACCCAGGGTACGTTGGTACCAACTGTTACACCGGGAGGGGGGTAGGGGAAAATGACATGGGACATAGTACTCATTGAGGGCACGGGCTCAAACACTTCAGTATGACAGAATAGATCTGCTTGCTTTCGTACTACTGGCATCTCATAGTGGCTATCACCTGAGAAAGCCTAATTATCGGGCTAGGTCAGGGCTTTGTCACATCTATGGTCAATCTCATCTTTCGTAGCTGTAAGTGGATCTTCTGTGCAAATCTTTTAAAAAGGAAAGGGAAACTTTGTAGACGGCGCGATAACTGATGTCTCAGCCAACCAATTGTAGTCTTTATCAGGAATGCTATCGTGGAGTCTAAAACAGCGATAAGATGGCCTTTAACTAGGTTATCGTGTCAAGCACATCTAGAGGTCAACCACTGTGCAGCAGGTACACGGTTTTTTTGAAAAAAATTTTAGAGGCCAACTTAGGACACCTTCATGCGGTTTGTATTATCATGTATATTTATGTTTGCAAGGTAGAGAGACTTTGATTTTGTTCTGTCCTAACTGTATCATTTTATTCCGGAAAGGTGTCCTGTGCCCTTGGCACTTACGAATAAGCGATATTCAAATGAGAGGAGGGTCGACACTTTCGATTAACACAGCTATGATCCTTGCTTAGGAGAACAGCTCCGGCGCAGAAGCGTTCCTCGTAATTGCGCCGGCTTAGTCTGCTTTAGCAAAGCAGATGATATGCTTATCTGCTAGGATTCCTGGGACAAATACTCAGACATTATCGACTGTGCTTTACGTCCACATTATTTGATGTTGCAGTTTGTTTGGCCAGTGCAAATAAAATCGCAGTCATTACGATTCAACTGATAGATACACTTCAAGATATTCTCTTCAGGCAGCCTATTTTCGCTCCAAATGGAGCGTTTCCCCAGAATACTACCTATCTTGAAATAGGTCCAATGATCGTATGCTCTTAGGGTTTCCTGGTGCCCTCTGTGAATGGGACCGTTTCATGAGCGTCCAGGACACGATCGCCGGTAAAGTACACCTGTCCGACATAACGTCAGTTTGCAAATTCAATGCTTCCCAGAAATCAGGATACGAATCCCAAGACCGCCGTACATACAGGCGAAAACACACGGCTACGTAAAGTGGTTGAAACTATCCCAAGCGGAACTCTGCATGTTTGTTATCCAGTCAACAGCCGTTTCTGTAACAAAGGAACTGAACCTTATCGCAATGCGATGCGTACCTCAGCAATCCCTTGAGCTGTACTGAGCTCGAGGTGCAGGCCTATTGACCGGAAGGTTCCCCAACTCCTCGACCGCTCCTGGCAGTAGCTCAGCCCTCGTGCCTCCTTCGGCTGGCATTCTAGTTAAGGGCCAAAAGGCTGTTGGCACTGAATTTTGTTACTGGAGAACGCCCATACGATATTTACAAGATCTACCAGTTTGGTCAGTGGGCACATGTCTGATAGAGACTTTTTTGTCCTCTAGGTTGAGAGTTGGAACAAGTTTTGCAACCTGTCCCCTAAAAGTTTGACTGCTGTGATAGCCTCACATCGACCACCAATGTCTTGCGGTCAGGCCTCTTTGGTCAAAGTCGTTGGTTGAGGGTCCCGTTTGTCCTCCTGTCTAGGTTAGGGCACCCTGACAGTGTCTCACCCTACATACAACGATGAAGTACACGATCACATGTACCTTCATGCTACATAGGTCACATCGACCACCAATGTCTTGCGGTCAGGCCTCTTTGGTCAAAGTCGTTGGTTGAGGGTCCCGTTTGTCCTCCTGTCTAGGTTAGGGCACCCTGACAGTGTCTCACCCTACATACAACGATGAAGTACATGAACACGTGTACCTTCATGCTACATAGGCCGTCGCGTGGTGCTACTAATTGGGCCGCGTTGTTCGATGCGTACAGTACACAGCAATGAGGATAAGCAGTGACATGGGGCTGCTGATGTCGCCCCCTCTAACCCCGCTTAATGATCACTCTTCCGTAGAGTCCAGCCGTAGGTTCGTCAGTCAGACATCAACGTTGCTCACATCCGCTGCTCCACATTCATTAATCCTAACACGTTCCAGAGTAATTATTGCAACTTTGAATGCTCAAGCTCTTCAGCGGGTTTGCCGATAAGCCTCTCTTTCGCAGACTCTTGGTACGTCATCAGTAGACGTTTGTTGCATTTCTGCAGCCCGCTATCTGGACGGTATCGATCGCAAACTTCAGGTTGTTCTTGTAGCTCTTAGCTCCTTAGGTGAGAATTTTGCTTGCTCAATTAAATACCTTAACCTATGTGCCGTTACGTCTGTCCACTTCCCCGGGGATCCCTATTCGTCGAAGTAAAAACCGCTCCTTGTTCATAGTTTTTGTCAACTTATCAAAGAGCTGCAGCTCCCATTCTCCGAAAACTACTTCCTACCGAGAAATAACCGCTATCTTGCCCCGGTATGGTCCTAACTGATGAAACTTTGAACATGCAAGTCGGGTACCTCAGTCCATTCAAGAAACGACTGCATGGTGTATTTAGTTTAGACCCCACGCGTAATGAATATGGTGAACAGTTCTCACAACCTTGTGCAATGACCAGTAGTCGTTTTTTTAGCAGCGCTGAGTTTAGACAGCAATATCGATGTCGACACTAATGCTTCACTGCTGTGCAAGCACAAAGTTTTTTAGTTATAATTAAAGCCTTAAAGTGATAAGAAAAAAGTGGTTGAGGGTGGGACCTGGAGCTGGCTTACCGTAAGCATTCTCCAAGCGCTCCAGCAACTAATCTGGGGAAAAACTGACAGCACAGGCATTAGTTAACCGCCATCCTCGCTGTGAGTTGTGCGTAATTTTTGCTGGTGAAGCACTCGAGACTCGGCTTTAAGTTACGGGGAACATGCATTGTGTTGTAATTCATCTTCGAAATCATCTTAACAAAATAGACGAGTCGGTCGTCGTCTGCCTTTCTGTGTGTCTGGTTTCATTGATTAGGAACAATATTTGCCTTTGCTTGCCCGTTTTGGTTTGTACAGGAACCTCACGTGAATCCTAGCTTAATCTTTCGTTTGTGATGTTCGATTCTCCAATTTTGGGTTCAAGTAGAACATAAGGTTGACGGAAACTCAGGGACTGTGCCTTCCTGATGAGCCCGAGTAGGGACCGGTGATCTGGTCCCGAAAAGTTTTCAGCAACCGTGTCGGTGGTGTATTACGTCTATACAATCTGGAAAGAAACTGACAGCACGGACACCACTGACATAAATCAATCGCCATTTCTTACAATTTCTTCATCCGAGCGCAGGGTGTGTCATGGTATGTGTGGAGGGTGTCACGGAGGTCCCATCCTAGAAGACGGACGCGGTTGTGTTACTTCTCAATATCTGTGAAGTCATATGAAGCACGTAATCGTTGGCTACGTGTAGAGGCTCAATAGTCGACTGCTGGAATACACATACTGAGTTGATGTAAATTTTCACTGAACTTACGGAGTAAATCTAAGAAGCAAATTTATGGGTTAGCATTTAAAATGCTCTATGAGCCATGGTACAAACCGCCATGTGATGCTTTGAAATCATCCTCTTCGTCCTCTTCTAAATAGGACGAGATCACAACCTATGAACCTGACGCTTAAAATCTGGTATGGTCCATTCCCTATTGTGTAGCTACTAATCACTGAAGATCAAAACTGTCACCGACACTTCTTTTTTGGTTCAGTTGGTGGTCCACCTCTGGGCGGAGTAGCTCAGTGGTTACAGCACGAATTTACTGACAGTAAGGTTCGCGGTTCGAAGCCGACCTCTGCATCTCGACTTCCCCTGTCGAGGCTTGGGCAACCTGGCAGTATCCCAGCCCTCGTTCTCCCTTTGGGCGTCATGGCAGCTAGGCACCGAAAGGATGTTATCCACACCTGATGGGATTACTCGATAGCATCGTCGGTCTGAGACAACACAGTTCGGTTTGATTCGTGATTAGTGTCTTCACAATCTGTTATCAGTCGATAACATTGTATCATCCCGGTGGTGATCTAAACCCATACACCTAGAAGTTCATGAATAGTGGAAGTTTGCTAGTTAAGAAAATCCACCCCCAAGCAGCGTAGTATCTGTCTGAGAGGCAGTTTTCAGCTTCTGGGTTGTTTTTTGATGTTCTTTGTGTGGTTTAATGGGATGGCGCTCATTTTTACGCCTCGAACGATACGAAAATGCTCCCAATCGCGGATTGATCCTTATTGAAGGGTTTTACCTTACATGGAATCATGTGTACGCACCATCCAAGGAAGACATTCGAAGGTGTGTCACCTTACACATTTCCCGTTCAGAGGCAAGCTACTGTTGTACACGTCTACAGAATCATGTCTGGTCTACAATTAGGCTGCGATTGGCTCCGCACGTAAGTGTGATTTCACCAGAATCAGTCATCCATATTTATATCTCGTTGGCCGGTGTGCATAGAACGAGTATCGATCCGAGGCGAGGCACGTCAAACAGAGTGGTAGTGGTATGAAACGAGGTCACACTCGTCTGTTTTAGTCAGTTGTTTTTCTACCGGTACAGTCCTTGTTTACCTATGATTCAGGTGTTGTGCAACTCTCAACTGATTACTCAGTTTCTCGCTCGGTATTTCCGGCCAGTGCACCAGGGCTAAATAACTGGTCAGCCAATCTACACAGTCGGTATTGTGCGTACATCCATCTCGAACACTCGCTCTGGGTGTCGCAAAGGCGCAAACAAATAAGTTACGATTTTCGGTTCTTCGCTTCATCCAATGGAAATCCTTGTGGCCGCATGGCTGGCTTCTTCTGTGTATATATGTTGTGGCCAATAGCTCATTATCTAATAACGAATTGATAATCGTCAAATTGTAACACCCTTTCGATGCCTAGCTGCGATTCCACCCGAAAGAAGTACGAGAGCTGAGGTACTCTCAGGTTTCCCAAGCCTAGGCAGAAACAGTCGAGATACCAGGCTTGGGTTCGAACCATGAACCTTCCGGTGTTGTGCCTTAATCAGTGTGCTGTCTCGAGGTCTTAACTGTGTATATGAATATGAGCCTCGAGTGGTGTATCGATTCAGGTTTTTCAGGTTGGTTCAGCAACCGTTGCAAGTGAAGACTATTACAGGAACCCCCGCGAACAGGTGGTACCAGGGTGAATAAAGCTTTTTGGCCTTCCCTCTGGCAGGATTTTGCGTTTGGTTGTGATTGGCATTGAACTTACTCGTGAAATTTTCAAGGAATCGATCCCTCCTCGGAGGTATCTCCTCCGGAGGGAAGTTACTGTTTGAACTGATGGTCGAATGGCTGAATGCGAAGTACCTGTATGAGTCTGAGTGCCATTTGTTTGAACAACTAACTGGACCATTTAGACTTCCTTCTCACCATAGAACAAACAACTGCAAACCATCATTCGTACTTTTTTGTTTCACAATCAGTCAATAAATGTGCTGTTAGTCTTCTTCAGCCTAAGTATTCGCTTCTGATTTTGATACCCATAACTAACCCTTAATTTGCCTCCAACAAGTCAGCAATGTTTAGTCACACTTGGAATGCGAAACTTTGCCCCCTGTTTACTTAGATTCCTAATTGACAAAGCCAAGTCAGAGAAGGACTGGGAGGAGGCAGTGCCATACGAGAAAGTCACCCGTGGAAAAGTCTACATACCTAAACAGGAGCAAGTACAGGTTTCACAGAAGGAACTTTCCGATATGGGCTTTGATGTGGAGTTTGATCAGGAAGTAAATGAGGTAAGCTTGCGGGTATTGGTTCTTTTTTTCAATCCGCTTCATTCGTGTTGTGCTGGTGTCGAACTGCGTTGCACTGGGTTTCTGTCCTCAGTGTCTGTAGATTACATAATTTCCAACTGCCCAGATAAAAAAGAATCTTGTACCATGCATTTGGTTGCAAGGTTCGATTTGTAAGATGCCTCCTAGAAAGACTATACGATATTCTGCCGGAGATTATCAGGAACAAGAGACCTGAACTACTGTCGGTTTGCCGAGGCCTAGACAGGAGCAGTCGAGATACCGGTGTTGGGTTCGAACCGCAGACCCTCCAGTTAGTAAAGTTCACGCCTTAACCACTGTGCTATCTCGAGCTCCGGGGAAGAAAACCTAGAAGGGGTGGATTTTTGATGGCACGTTTACCAGTCATCATCAGTAATATCGTTACAAACAACCGTGGATTATAGACAGGAATCCAAGGTCTCACATCAGCTCGCTACTCTCGATTTCAATTAGCAACCGTTTACACTGATTCACATCACACCCTGATTTCCAGGTCATATGAACTTAATGAGGTCTGCATGAGGCGGATGACTGGATTGAAAAACGTCTCAAGGCACGCAAAAGATTTCTGTCGCACGGAAGTTTCACATCAAACACGTAATTTACCAGATTTTCCTGGTGAATAAAATGGCTGCTGACTAGCTGGTCGGATTTTCCGGGCAACAACGGTTAAGTCAAACCGTTCATAGACTCGCATGTGTTTTTACTCATCCAGCAGTTGTTTAGATAAACTGAGTCCTGATCCTGTTGGTCAGTTCGGCTTTTATGGTCCATTCTTACACAACAATTCTGTGTCTGCCTTCGTCCATCCACCCTGAACAGAGTGACACGTTTGCCGTGGTTGCCAAACAGGTGGAAGAAGACAAACAACTCGAAGGTTTTTACCGACTAGAATCGTTTCTGTGAAGTATTATCCCAAATTTACCCTATTGTAGACTGTCTGTCCTTGAGCATCGACGCCGGAGTAAGGTTCGAACTTGTGACGAATCACTCGCTATCACTTAGCACCCTTGTCGAACCTTTGGGGGCGCTCAATTCAAAGAGCGGAGTGGTGCCAAGTGGTATAGTTGTTTAGCACTGGGAAGCTGCACTTTGGGAGTGACGGTTCCAGAGATTACATCATAACTTCGAGGCCGGTCAGAGAGCTGGTTGACCCTTCGTACGAGATAGGAGTTCGTTGTGGTCGCAGCCCGCGTGATTTTTTTGTTTTCTTGTAAAACCGTTCACATGTTTTAGCTGGAAGACACAATGCTCGTGAGTCCGTTTTTATCTAGTTTGGTTTGCGCACCTCGCGGCGTATCGTGCGCTAATGCATGTTTGGTTTTCCTCAAGGATGTAGATGTTTCGTATGCTGTGTAGACACCGATGTTAGTTTGATCAGCGCTGATTAGTCCACTGGCTGTTTTTATCTTTGTCGCCTAGATTTTTACTCGAATGTAGTGCAAATGTAAACCGGATCCCTTGAACTTTGTGCAAATACGCATCACCTTGTGAAAGTTGTTTGAGTCTATGCCTCCAAGGGGACATACAGGGTAAACATCCAATTCATTGGATTTGCAGATTGATCGATTCTGTATCAGTTTTAACACACCTTTCCTTGAGTACCCCCTCGACCATACTCATCCGGATTAACCCCACCGTTGGCAAAGTTCGCTAGGTTGTAGGCGCCGTAGTTTCCAAACGGTTCTACGGGCAAGACTGATCTGAAGATTCATCATACTGGACAGTCCCGTTGACGGAGTCTGCGGCTGTTTCCACGGCACCCCATACTCCGGACGACGAGGGAGCTATATTCTACCGGTTTGACCTATGATTGAACGCAAATGCGTAGACGGCTGAAGCCTACTGGCGCGCCTTCACTGACCTTCGTGTATCCTGGTCAGGCGAAGACAATTTTGACAGCCCTGAGTTACACAGGAAACACTTTCTGGTTCCTCGGCTGGCTGATTCCGAGACTAACTATCACACTGATACTGCCATTCGCCTTATGATAAAGGTCTGTGGTGTTACAGAAAGCTGGTTAACCTGACGCAATCAATAGTCCAGGTTATGTGTACGGTGGTGAAGTCTTTCGGACACCAACATCACAGATTGCTGGTAGGGTAAAAAGATTTGGGAATCTCCTCACCTTACCAAGTACTGAAAAGTAACTCACGGAAAGAATGCTTTCACAAGATAAGTGGAACCTCCCTTTGAGAACTCGTCACTCGCGGAGCTAGTCAACACGTGACTATATGATGTGATTTATGTTTGAGAGATGAGCGACGCTTCATCCTGTCTAAGCGGGATCTAATCACACTGCTGCCCGCCTAAGTGTTCAAACTACTGACCGGAAAGTCGTATGTTCAATACTCCTTGGAGCTTCGTGAGGTGACCACTGCTAGTGGGTCCCAATGCGGATGAAACAGCTGTGGAGTACTCCTCGGCTTTCTACCATAGATTGGCTTCACTTACAGGACCAATGCAATCATCATTAATGCCACAGATACGGGGCCAAAAAGATCTATCAGACTAGAGGACCACAACGCATGATAACTCAATGACACTTCTAGTTTGTGTTAATTCACTTAGTTTTCATTTTTCCACATAGAATTATATTCTTTTGCGGTTCTTGTTTGATCTTGGCCGAAAGGGGCGATAATTACCTGAGAAAGACAGGTGATAGTTAAGTTCAGTTTCACAAGTATTCCCTCCGGTTGTCCAGGAAGTTTTATCACAATCTTTTTTAGCACCTTCATACGGCTTCGTTTTTGGTAGAAGAGGTGAATTCTCGTCGAGGAGGCACTTTCTGTCCTAAGGATTTTCCTCATTTGTCAAGCGATGACCCCTACCTTCTAGTCGCAATGTCCGCCGCCGCACTTTTTCAACCTACCTCTTAGTAATTTCCAACTTACCATTCTTTCAGCATGAAATTGATGTGGTATGTGTGTCTTGCCGTTTTTGCGAATTATGTCGTTCCATTTTGAATGGTGGTTTAGAACTCACTCAGATTAGCCAATCAAAGCGCTTGATTCAGTTGATCAGCTGATCCAAAAGTCTTCAAACACTGCCAATCCAGTGACGTCATCCGTCTTGATGGAATATAACGAAAGGGTTCCTAATCACCTGTGATAAAGTCAACACACACCTGCGTTATGTTTGACGACGGCTTTCATGCAGCCCATTTCGGGCAGTCGCCGGTCATCTGAGCTGTGGCACTCTAATTTCAAGCCAGATTAGCTTGTTCATTCATCTTAAAAGTAGACGATGGCCTAGGACTAGCCAGGGGGTACTAGATGACTTCAAAATGTGATTCAACGGACATATCAGTGTCCCTTCTTCCTCGAGGCCCATCAGGACTCCTGACTTCGTGTACTACTTGGAATGTTATTGTACTTTGGGGGTAGGAACTTCGAAAAATCCCACTGAGGGTAATTTTTCATTGGTCAGCCAAATACCAGTACTAATTTGGAAAACTATTTGACAACCGGCCATTGGACAACCTCGTGAGGATTTCGCTCCCGGAAATCGGGTTCCGTCCCGCAATCTCGGTTCTTTGTTGTAGTGTTGCATTTAGAGGAGAATTACTTCGATATCTCAAATCTGAGTCTCGAATCAATCTCCACAGTGCTCGTTCGGTTTAAAAATCACGTACGGGAGGTTCATTCCAGTCCGAATTGAATTTTCCGGACGCTGGTGACTGAATAGCTAATGATGCTCTCAGGTAGGCTAGGCGACTGACGCAGTGTCAAGGTCACGCACAGCCCACATGTGACTAGCCAGTCATCCTGACACCCCAATCGTACACCACCCAAAGAAAAACATGCGTGGCTGATGGCGAGTAAGAAATGCACTTTCTTTCACCTGATAGTAAGGTTACACTCGGCTCATGCACCAGGCTAACCGGTATCCTGACAGGGTCAGGCACTGGTGTCACTCCACAGCATCGTAACATGAACGGCGTTTTCCAAATGGCTTCCTCGTAAGTTAACGCACTCTCTGGACCTGCACCGCAGCCATTTGGGTGAGATTTTGCGCTCTGTTGCACTTTCGCACTCTTTTCACCTGAAATAATAGGTAACTTAATTTCAAAAACCCATGCGCTGGATAGTTCTCTTTCCCACGAGCTAAAAACTCCATTCACATGGGACTAATGCCCTGTGGCCCGCTACTTCCCGGATAAAAGTTCCTCAGTTGGTATGTAGTTGAGAAGAATTCACCAATACTTCCTACGATTCACACAACATTAGGAGTACTGCAGAGTATACCCAACTTATACTACTGAAATGACTGTACTATACTACTACTGATGCGTGGGCTGTGGTTCTATAATGGTTCAAAAGCTTTTGTAAATCTTGTTGATTGCGCAAATAGATCGAATAAAGCAACACAATCGAATGTTACCTAGCCAGGTCTATCTTTCGTACTTGGTTTTTTGTGAATTGCCCTTGACAGCAACTTTTTTTAACATCCCAATGTGACTCGAGAATCGCTTACACCCTTGCTGCATTGATCCGGGTTGTGTCTTGGTTACAGTGTTCATCTATTTTGAGTCTGATGGGACAAGACAAACAGCCGCACACAAGTTGTTCTCCCCTTCCCGTCATACAAGCCGGGACACAACACATCGTGTAGATGTTGAAGTTACTAGTCAGAAAGCTACATCGTTCTCAGAGTTGCGTTACCTTCTTGCTACTCCAATGCAGTTCTCCCTCATTGAATTAGGGAAGCACTCTTTGGCACTCTTTAAAGTATCCCTGTCGCTATCTGGTTCTGGGGCTTCGACACATTAATGGTTACATGCTCGCATCGCATCCCAGATGGCCAAAGATCAGAGACCGTGGGTGCATTGCTGATGAATTGTAATCAGATTGAGTCTCGAATTCGGTGCTTAGCTGCACGAGGACTAAAATATTTCAAGGTTTCCAAAGCCTAGACAGGGGCTGTCGAGATGCCGAAAACGACGGACCTTTCGGTTTGTACCTTAACCACTGAACTATCTCGAGCTCATGTGTGGCCTAACAATACATACTCAGTTCTTGCTATTATCTTAGTCACTACCCAGCTTCTAGTTATCCGTTCGAAAATGCCCCTGAACCCACTAGCTAGCGTCTATACGTTTTCCCGCACTGTGAACTGGTCAACCTTCATCTTCGGCTTGGACTTTACATGGCAAATCACGTGAGCTGTAGAAGCCACCGTGGCTCACAAACCAACTATGAATGGCATTCCCTGTCCCATTGGCACTCGCAGTTGGTTTGGCGCCAACCTACACTTAGCTCTGCCCCTCCCCTCTGAGTAGTTTTTTCATCAGTCCCGTGTTTCGTTTTTCAGGCGTTGGAAAACGCCACCGAAGACGAACTGGTGGATTTGGCCGCTGTGCTTGGCTTCACAGGAATGATGAATCAAGTTCAGTTCTATGCCAGTTTGGAGAACCGTAAACTGGAAGGAGGTGGATTCACTGGAGTGGCCAAAGGAGACCGACCCAAACCGGTTCCCGATGAACCCCCGAATACAACAGATGTCGAGGTAATTGGTTTTGCGTCAGTTGTCTCTCCGCATTGTTCTTTGATTGACACTCCCATCCCGCCTTGTCCGCGACGGGTTATGGTTGCACATCACAAATCGTGTGCGATGTATCCCTAGCTAAAAGAGTGAGCATGACGGTCTCTACGAGCAGAACTAGCTGCTCCTGAGCCCGGGCGATTCGTGTTCAAAGTTGTGGAGCGTTTTACTTATCTTGGAAGTTGTATGAGTTCCGATTGGAGTGTGGCAGATGAGGTTAATGTACGAATCTGCAAGGTCCGGGTCGCGATTGTTAATTCGAGACACCCGTGTCTTCAAAGCGATATATCTATGAATCTCAAGAGATGTGTGTATCAAACTAAAGTACCAGCTGTTGTGTTGTATGGCTGTGAGACTTGGCCTGCTCGAGGAGCGGAACTGAGATGTCTTCAGGTGTTTGACAACCACATCTCGTGTAGGTTGGTATCGGTGAATCCGCAACAATGTGATTAGATAGCGAGTGTTTGGCTGTGTTGCGGGGACTTCCATCGAAGCTGCGCTGGTTGGGCAGTGTATTACGTATGCCAAATCTTCGTTTGCTGAAGAGTGCTGTCCGATTCCGGGTTTTGGAAGTAGAGAGGTGGCCAACCTTTGACCTGACAGAGGCGTGTGAAAGAGATTACGAAACGTTTGGGTACTGCCGATGCTACTCGCCTTCCAGGATGGGGACCGCGTGATCCACACTGCGCCTGGTTGAAAACACTACAAGATATGGCTACCAACCCATCTCAGTGGCGTTCTTGTTGTCAGTTTCTATCCAGATTGCCTGACTGAATGTCTGGAGATGTAGGCACTTCGGAATGATTGTGGTAGGCTAGCATTAAATCCCTTGCACATCCACAGTAAGGCCTTCAAATAAATCATGGTTGTACGGCAATGAAGCATCTGTATTGAACACTGATATCATGCTGTCGATGTCGAAGAGGACTGTGACTATCTGACTGGGGCGCACACCTTCCGGATGAAAGACAACAATCTATGGTCTCCAAAGCTCTCACAACGCACAGGCGTCGCTGAGCCTCAAGTCCTGAAAATAATGCTGAAGTGATGTGGTGACCGTGTTCAAACCATATTGAAAAACGCTTAGTTTTAACTGGCATGATGAATGCAGGACTGTAGACTAGATGTGTACGCGAACATGAGGCGAACATGAAGCTGCCGAAAAACTGCCCCCGACTCCTCTCTGCGGAACGGCTTGGACCTTCGGGCACGTGACCATGTTCCCTACTTTCCAATACTAACAAGCAGACAGGAGGTTAGCGGACAGTATCGAATCAGCGAGACGTTTATTACGCGACCGGTATTGATCCAGCTAATCGGGCAGCTGTGAATATGCACAAAGAACGATCACACCTATTCGCAGTGGCTAATACACAGCCATTCTGTGTGTGTGTGTGTTGGGAACAAAGTGACCAAGTTTTGAATGTCGGACTTGAGCCAACTATACACGAATAAATCCACTATTGACCTCCATCAAAACATTTCTTCGTTTTCTCACACATTAGATAAACTAAACGACCTGTCCAAGATTGTCGAGGAAGGTCGATTAATGACGAACTGATCGCCTTCGAAACGAGGTTTTCCGTCCCAATGACCTGCAATAAATTGTCCCACAGTCCATTTTTGTCCAAGGTCGCACAAAAGTATTGAATGCCCTGGGGGAGCCTTCATTGCAAGCTTCTAACTTCCTGCCTCCCCCCTATATTTCCAACTCATGTGTAGTTACGATTATGGTGTCTAGACTAAGCCACTTATGTGTGCACTATCGATTTAATCAATAATCCAGGTGGTCCTTGTGGATCAATAACTCACTTGTTTGAGTGTTTTCTGGGGGGTCGAGATGGATCGGTGGTTAGAGCGCGACTACACTGACTGGAAAGTTCGTGATTCGAACTCGACCTCTGTCTCTCGACTTCCCCTGTCTAGGCTTGGGTGATCTGGCAGTATCCCAGCCTTCGTGCTTCCTTTGAGTGGCATAGCAGTTAGGCGCCGAAAGGGTGTTACAGTTAAACGGAACTGCGTGTTTTCAGGTTGCCTGTCAAAATCGGAAGTCATGGCGAAATTCCAATACAGCAGAATGGAATATCTCACGCCTGCCTACATTCCAAAAATTGTCGCTAAGGGGGAGGAAGGCGTTGTAAACACAGTCTCTATTTTTAGCTGACAGAACTTCAGTCTTCCATAATCATTTAGTGCAACAGAGATTCTGTTTTCGGCCACAGCATGTCCACCCCTCTCCAATGATAGCACCCCGACCAATTCAGTGCTTTATCCTTTTTTTTCAGGAAAGCATCACCAGGTTGGGCAAGAACGACCCCGAATTAACCGATCTCAATTTAAACAACATCAAAACTATGAGCGCTGAAGTGGTAAAACGACTTTCGGATGCACTGAAGACGAACACGAAATTGCGCAAACTAAAGATGGCCTCCACTGCATTGACCAATGTCATGATTGAACCCATTATTGAGATGCTGCAAAGTAACTCCACGTTGGAAGAACTCAATTTGGAGTCGAATTTTATCACCGGTACGTTTCTCTGTTGTCTCTCCAAGAATTTCCCGAGTATAGAAGCTGGAGTTACGTAGTAATCGACGGTTCATAGCTTACACCCAACCTCAACCTGGACTCCCCCATGTCTAAGCCAAAGTAACCCGGCGGTCTCTTCGTTCGCTTCAAGTCATATGACGCGGAAACGGTGTCACGGATAGTTTGATTTGATTGTTCTCGGGAGTATGGACCTATAGAAGCAAGCATTCAACTTAGATTGATCCTCACCGTGAGCCACCAACTCCAGAAATTCATGGTTGTCTGAAATTACATCGCCCCTTTCTGAACACCTACCTGTGAATAATCGCTAGTTTTTGTGTTTCACATCACTTTGTTTGGTCGACAAACCTCTCCAGTCATCTCTTGATTGGGACAAAGCTTTCCGCACATTGCCGTCTTGTCTAACCTCCGCCAAGTCCAGACTGATTAGTTCTAATCTAGTCTGACAGTCTTTCCGCTAGGCCTGAAGAACTTCATTCATGTCTGGTTATGTTCGCGTGACAAAGGAGCAATAGTATTATAGCATACCGCCTTGTCAATCATCGGATCATGCATATGGTCTGACGGAATTTAGCCCATTGTTCCCATCTGATGGAGAGTCTGGATCGATGTAAAAATGTGTTGAGCACAGCTCATGCCATGGATATATTCTGGGCAGAGTAAATTCCCTAAATAATTGTTGTTTTAAGCTCGAACTGTCCAGTGTCCTCCCCCCCCTGTATGATGTCGTGGTAGACAGTTTCGACAAACCTCTTTAAGTCCCTTCTTGAACGGCATTAGCAACACTCAAGATAGCTTAGTGTGAGAACTTAGTGAGAACTTATTGATCGAAAGGTCTGTGGTCCGGACCCGACCTTTGTATCCCAACTGCAACCTGGCAGTATCTCAGCTCCCGATCCTCCTTCAGGTGGCATGGCCGCTAAGCACCAAAGGTTTGGTATGACTAAAAGGGAAGAAGCTTCGTTGTCTTGGAATCGGGTTTCAGGCAGTTGGGATGCTAAATGAACCGTTTTGGTGAAACACCCCCATCAAACATACTGCTGCTACTAGTTTACTGCGAATTCCCTCCGGAGAGGAATGGGTTGGCCTCAAGACCGTCCCGAATCACTGCTACCCATGAACCAGAATCACCCAGTATATGTCTCGTTACTTACCAACCACCTGCAGATCCTGTGGTCTAACGCCACCCTCACTGTTTAGAGACAGGTTTTCAAATGTCTTCTGAACAAGACAGTGGCCACAGAGAGAGAGAGTTTAGACATTTCGGAGTCTGGTTTGCGGAGGAGTCAGTGTAGCCAGCGTCGCTGGACCAATTTAGAGGACCCAATACAGGATACCCTGTTGTTTTACTATGCTTTCGGTGTTCACCCTAAGCATCAGTGATCGAGTACTTTTGGTCTGCAATGGTTTTCATCCCGGGGGTGGTCGGGTCTCACAGACGTATATTGGTACGGAGCTCTTTGAAGGGTTGTTTTCTGGGCGATGTTATAGAGCTGTGTGAAGCTACCTACTGACTTACTCGCTCTACACAGGCGTATTCCCAAGCCCGGGTACTGACCGAGCTTCATCATCGAGAAGATGATACTCGATAGACGTCTAGTGTCTTTTCCTCGGGCATCATTCGTCAGTTTCTACAGCCGCGAAGCATCAATGTTTGAAAAGTGATCTGCTGATGACGATGTTTCTACAGCTTTGTGTGTTATCGACTTTCCGCGCCCGACAGGATGGTATCGGTGCTCACTATAAGAATCGCTCTTTTTAGTTATCAATGTCCGTTGTTCTGCGATGCCAGTTGGTCTGGTTCACATTCTCACAGCACCACCAAGGAATACGTGCACTTTAGCCCAGCCAGGTCATTTGTCACCGCCATGTACGTTGTACGGGGATTCGACCACATATGTGTGACTCATCATTCCACTAATCACCATTCTAATTTCTATCGTGTCCCGTTAGACAACTTGTACTTTAAAGTACGAATTTCGAAGTAGATCAAAATGTGTTCATCACGTGTTTCGATGGAGACCTCCGACCCATGCTACTCCGAACTTTTGCGGCTCACGTTCCGCTCAGAGTCATCTTGTGTCAAGACATCTAAATAACGTTGTGCCTCTGTCTGAGTTGCGGAAACTGAAATCTATATTCAATAACTCTTCGGGCTGACCTTGGGGATCTAGTTACCTTGCCTAGCTCTGCTACTGGTTCGGGTCGATGGATGCCTTTTCGATGCTTTTTCTGAGTCTTGTGAAAACTCGTCCAATCGGACATTATCCTCAATAGGTGCATTGCTAGAGCACTCAGTGAGTAGAGGCCCATTTCAGCAGCGGTTCGAACAGTTGGACGGTTTTGATACCTGACACCTACGTTTATCTCTATAGGTGCGGTATCCAGCTGTGCTGGCTAAGATAGCCTGGTTCTCAAGCCTCTGACTTACTGACTGGAAGGTCCGTGGTTTGAATCTAAACCCGCCAACCTGGTAGTCTCACAGTCCTCCTGTTTCCTTTAGGTGACACTGTGTCTTTAACTGGCAGTGCAGTTAAACGGTACGATGAGGAAGCACCCAGTGGCCTCAGTTGGAACAATCGTTTAAATCGTATGACGGCTGTGCTCTAATATGCTTCAAGACCTTTTAATTTAAATGGGTACATGTTTGTCTTAGCAGTTTAGTGAAATGAACTAGACGAGCAGATCTGTGTTCGTTTTTCGGACCGAGGTGACCCTTGTATCGATATCTTATTCCTTTTGAATATTTGTTGGCGAAGCATTACAGTCACATGATAATTGAGTGTGAGCAATACGTGTGATTGTACAGTTATCGGGACGGATGAACAAAAGCTAAGATGTATGTTCAGTTTTACGAAAATCTGTACTGTACCATCATCATCATCATCCTTGGCAGGAATACCAAGGGACAACACCGTTGCTCCACTGCCGAGATGGCTCAAGTTGTTGGAGCGCGAATCTACTGACCGGAGGATCCGTGGTTCGAATCCGACCTCTGCCTTTCGACTTCCCCCGTTTAAGCTTGGGCAACCTGACAGTATCCCGGCCCTCGTGCTTCCTTCGGGTAGCATGGCAGCTAGGCACCGGAAGGGGGTTACCGCTGAACGATTTATTTTATTTTTTATTCTGCCGAACTTGGTTTTGTAGATCCCACTCAAAAAGTCCCGTTAGGATGGCCATCGTATGGATAGCGAATGCGAGGACTCAAGCAAGTTCTAGCGATAATCGTTGTTCCCTGATTTACAGTTTCATCTCGGAAATCGGAATACCACTCGTACCGTCGTAGAAACTGAAGTGGCTCCATTTTTGTGTAAACGTTAGCTGGTCCATAGGCGACAGCGTGGTCATGTTTCTGTGACATTATTGAATGCCACCCCACAGGTGCAAGAAACTAAGACCGATCAGCCATTTTTCCATTGGAAGTTCGGCACCAAACTACTAAACTGTAAGCTGCATCTGCGCTTTTTTCCTCTTGAGCTTCTTTATCAACTCCCATCTCGGAACCGGTCATGTTGCGCACTTCAAACACTCTGGACATCGTCTCATTTTGACTGCGGTGCATTGGTCCTTTGTGGACAAAACATATTATTTTGCTTGCGGGAAGGATACAGTATTCAACGCACATAAACTGAAAACATTTCATTTGCGGCTCACGTGACCCAGATTCGGGTTTGCTTTCACGATGATATGATACCTTAACACTGTTTTACTGACAGTGGCCGAGTCACGTGCCTGTCACGAGTATTCGCATAATTTTTGCGAACTCAAAAGAACGAGACGAATTCAATCCAAGCTGTAGACGGTGCAGTGATCACATGACCGCCTTGGGAGTAGCAGGTAGCAGCTTATGTTGGTGATGCCCATCGTGTATGCGAGTTGTTTTTACGAATACCACGGATCCTGACGTCAGAATAATCTTATCTATTCCTACGTTACAGAAGGATGTCAAAAGTGCGGTACCATCGCCGTGCCATACAACCTTAACATATTTTACTACGAAAACTGGGACAGGTACGAACAACCCGGGGCTTGTTTTCCTCTGATACAAGCAATAAACAGTGTGTGAAATAAACAGTGTGAGCTGTACGACACACTATCTTGGGTTTTAGACCAACTCCCTTAATAACGCCGTCGCGATAATAAGAGTAAAATTTGAAAATTAGCTTGGCCCTGGGGAGGGACTCAGCCGAAATCCACCTGAACCTCTCCCTCCGTTTGTGATATTCTTCAACGAAGACTGCTTCGTGTTTTACTTGGAATGCTATTCAGAGCGTGTTTCGATACTACTCTTAGGGTCGATGAAAACGGTGGACAGCTTACCACCGGTTTCGCGCTTTTTCAGGCTCCTCAAGGCTTAGTCCCCGAATGTTCGTCAACTTTGTGGATGATAGTAAATAATACTTCGATATTTTGCGTATCGTTCCAGCTAAGACATGAAGCTTTGTGCAGCACATTCTTTTAAATATGTCATTAATGGGAGGTTCAGGTGAATTTCCTATCGTTCATCTGTAGTACCTTTCCGGTGCTTGGCTGCCATGCAACCCGAAGGAAGGAGAAAGGCTAGGATACTACCAGGTTGCCCAAACTTAGACAGGGGAAGTCGAGAGTCAGAGCTTGGGTTCGAACCACAGACCTTCCAGTCAGCGAATTCGTGCTTTGACCGCTTGAGCCATCTCGTCTCCTGTCTCAACACTAACTAACTTGTAAATGTGGTTCTATCTATCGAGGCATACGTACAGTTTGGTCTCCATATTGGGAGTCAGGTTGAAGATTTGGAAACCACCTGATGAGCCCAAGAATGGCGCAACCAGTACTGTGATGGTTGTAGTTTTCATGAGTAGTACTGAAGAAGCCAAGTTTTACCTCCCGCACTAGCTTTAGCGAAATGCGGTTGTCTAGTCCTCTGTATCAACTGCAGCTGAGCGTGCGAAACTATGTCAGTAGCTTGAGACAGTCGGCATGATAGCAATATAAAATGA